TGTCGATCTCTCCATCCAAAAGGAGCCCAAACTGTTTGTGTGAGCTGGGATGGCAAAGGCAACGCTCTTCTGTGGTGTTGCTGCACTGAACTGAAAGAAAAGCCCCAGGAGTTTAACATAAAATCGAAAGAAACAGCTAACTGCCCCAATTTACTATTTTTTCAAACAGCCCCAAATCTCCTTCCTCTCCCTCCAACCCCAGGAGAGCACAGTTTGTACTGACACAATCCTTGTAGTTTGGGAAAAGAGGTGGTAATTGGGAAAGATTTCTTGATTGATTCTCAACTTTAACTTGTCATTATTGCTGTCCTTGATTTGTGGGGGAGGAATGTTTTCCTAGCTGTGTTGTTTTTTTTAGCTTTGATGGCTAATACACTGTATTTCTCCTTTTTCCCCCTTTGCAACTATCAATTGACTCCAACAACTTCTTTCTAAGAGTCACTTTACCCATGAAATGTGCCCTCCATGAGTGTGAGGTGTAAACACTGTCTCTTCTCACAGCTCTCCTCGTTGGAGCACTGTTGTTTTAGAAGAACATCCAGTAGAAATAAACAGGGAAAAGTCAAAATATACAGCTCTGCTGTGGGGTCAGTGCTGGTGGAGGAGGCCACGAGCTCAGGCACCTTGCTGGAAGCTGTGGATGAGATCCATGTCTTCATAGTTATGCAAACTCGGTGTGATATTGGATGTTTGAGAGGAGCTGGGGTTATTTCGTCACCAGAACTTCTCACCATGAGAGAGAGTTGCCCTAATTGCACGTTTAATTTGGGCTGAATCACTGGTGCCACTTTCTGTGGCTGTGGATTCTGCTGCCCAGCACCTCCAGTGTCCTCTGCCATGGAGGAGCCATCAATGCAGAGCCCGTGCAGATGCACCAGGGACATTTGCTGACCCTCAGAACAAGCCCAGATTATAATGATTAGTTGCAGTTTTAATTACAGTGAAAGCAAACTCCACCATTGGCTGGTATTAGCAGCACAGTTCAGACCTGAACAGGCTCCTGGGACATCCCAAGGTACCCAGGACCTGAGGAGGTGCTGGACTGTCCCCCAGGGCTTTGACATCCGTTTCTCAGCACCTCTGTTTTATTAGTTCACATCCTCGAGGTCTGTTTTTCCTACCACAGGATATGATTAACCCTGACCAGAGTCATCATGCTGCATCCAAAAGAGGAAAGTCCACCTGAGTTCAGCACAAAACCTCTGCCCTCCTTGAGTCCTGCACAGCCTGGGACCACACAGACCTTGTGCCTGGCTTGTGGATCTTCTCTGGGACAGGTCCTGTGGGCCACCTCATCACTGGGGCTGCTGAGGGGTCTCCAGCCTTGCTCCAGCTCCTCTGCTCGTGTAGGGAACTGCCCCAAACTGAGGACCACAGGCTCTCCCACACAGGTGAGGAGGCTGCTCCAGGTTTGCAGGGAAGCTGCTGCCATGCCCTTCCCACCCGAACATCAGGAAAACCTGAGGAGGAACCCATCCCAGCTCTGAAGTCCTGTGACCCTCTGGCATGGTGAGTTGGGGTGACCAAGGACACGAGGCGTGTGGGAGGAGATGCTGCTGACAGGAGGCAGCAACTCAAGGCCAGTTAGAGGGAACTTTTCATTCAATTTTCCTTGAAAAATCGTGGTGAAAGGGCACAGCAGCATTTCTCAACCCCCACTCACGTAAGCAGCGTGTTCTCATCACTCCACTGAGCTTCCTGTGAGTAACACGGGGAGAGAAGGGCAGAGAGAGGGGCTGTCCTGGCTGGGAGGTTACTCACAAAGGAAATAAAGCCTCGGCTGATCCTGGGGGAGATGCAATTCTAACAGTCAGGCCACACTCTGCCTTTTGCAATAACTGTTCCCAAACTCAGCAGCTCCCTCATGAGCCCTTTGCACCATCCCAACATGGGCTGAGGGATAACATTCCTGCAGGAGCCTCCTGCCCTGGCTGAGGGTGATTCCCACAGTGGGGACACAGGGCAGTGCTGTGCCTCTTGTCCTTGATCCCTCGAGGCATTCCTGGGGCTGTGGGGTTATAAAATACCCTGATCTGGAAGAGACCCACAAGGATCATCATTCCAATTCCCAGCCCTGCCCAGGACATCCCAACAGTACCACCCTGCCCCTGAAAGCATTGTCCAAACGCTCCTGGAGCTCTGGCAGCCTTGGAGCTGGGGAGCCTGGTCAGTGCCCAACCACCATCCGGGGGAAGAACCTTTTCCTGAGACTCAGCCTGACCCTGTCCTGGCACAGCTCCAGCCCTTCCCTGGGTGCTGTCCCTGCTCACACAGAGCAGAGGTTGGAGCTGCCCCTCGGGAGGAGCTGCAGACAGCGACACAGCAACAAGTCTCCCCTCAGCCTCCTCTTCTCCAGCTGAACAAGCCAAGTGACCTCAGCCTTGTTGAAGTTCAGCTCAAGCAGAGCATCACGGAGACATGCTCCTCACAAATAAAGGGATTTTAGCAGGCCAAAGCAAAAACAACCTCTGTTTAGTCTTTGCCTTCCCCAGCAGAGACATACAGGAGTGTTCCTGGACACGGGGTTTTTATTAATGATCAAAATAGTGTGTTTTTGCTACCTCCTTCCCTTTATCCCCTCCCAACCTGCTGAAGACTCATCTGGAATGTATTTACTGACCTTGCAGAGGGTCCTTGCTCTGCTCCCAGCGCAGCCTGGCTTCTCTGAGGCGTAAGGAACCACACTGACAGAATGAAATGGGCACATTTCACCCTCAAGTGAAGTCTGCAAATACTCCAGATAGTTGTTTGTACGTGTGACCACTCGCAGGGCTGGAATTAAAAGTCTGGGAGAAGGAGGGTTGAGTTCCCAGTGTTGCCAATCCCGAGAGGGATTTGTAACCCTGAGTGGTACAAAACCCTCAGGTTTGCTTTCAGGAATGTTTCTGAGGCATCTTATTGCTTACACTGATGGTATTTTAAAATCTGATGGACTTTCCCTCATTTCTACTGCTTCATTTCCCCCCAGCAATCAGGTCATACCCTCTGCTGCCGTAGGTGAAGGATAAAGAGCCCAGAGTTCGCCCTCCTGCCACATGGAAGAATTCCCTCTCCCAGTGTCAGAGCACAGTAGAAATGGGGGAAAAAATGCTAAATTAGGGGTCAACTGGAGAATTAGTTCCTTCAAAAGGACCTGGAGCTTCTGAGAGCACAGACCCCTGTTGCAGCTGGCGGGGGGGATTCAGGCAGTGGGAATGCCCTGAGCCCCTCCAGCCCCAAAATACCTGCCCAGGAGTGGTGGGGCAGAAGGCACCTGGCTCAGAGCAGGAAATCTCTCTTTATTGCCAGTGCTTGGAGTTTATTGCTCGTTAAACTGAAGAGCTGTTGGCTTCTCACATCCTGCAAGAGTTTTATGTGAGAACAGTTTACAGAGGGAGGGTGGGAACGTCCTCTGGGCAGATTCTGAACTTCACAGCCGTGCCCATGGGGCAGCAGCAGGTGCTCCTTTTCTTTTAGTGGGAGACAGGCAGGACCATCCCACTGCTATAAACAACTGGACTCCAGTTTTTTCCAGAGCTTTTCTCCCAGGGCTATCCTGGTTTTATCAAAAATAACCTTTCCAGACACACCAAGGCCAAACTGGTGGGACATTTGTCACAATGAGGTGCCCAAGGGCTGGATTCACCACCAGCTTCCATGAAAGGTCTGTGCTGGCACAGTCATTCAATGGAGAAACAGCATTTTTTAGGGAAAGTCGAGGGTACAGCTGGAGCCCAGGGCAGGAGGGGGGGCATTGTTCACTGCTGGGGTCCCTGTGGCTATAGGGGGTCCTTGGCTGGGTCCTTCCCAGCTGGAGCATCCTTCCTGGAAGACCAAAAAACAAGAGGAAGGCGGAGAGGGAAACGCAAAGATTGTGAAATAAAATGTGGGCAGGAGCGGGAGAAGAGGACCGAGCGTGACCAAGAGCAGAGGAAACGGGACAACGTGACAGGGGAGGAGCTGGAGCTGGACCAGAAAACAAAAAAAGAGGAAACCTCCTCAGCAGCAGCGAGCGGCTCGAGGAAGAGCTCGGCACTAGGGGACACTGTCGGACCATGAACTGCAGCACATGCAGCTGAAAAAAGTCCAGTTTCCAGCAAAAATCCACCCCACTCCTTTTCCTTTTCCAGGCGTTCCTGTCACCGCACCAGGGTGACACTTGATCCCCTCTGCCCAGCCCCTGTCATGTTTTTACAGCCCCTATAAACGCCACAGTTCCTAACTCTGTTCTAACAGGAGCAATTCCTCTTTTTCTGCATAAATTTCTCTCGAAGTCCCTATTCCTGAGCAAACCCTGCTTGGGATTTGCTGCCAGGGTGGCAGCTTTTGTATCCCAAGCAGGGACAACTGCCTGGCTCTCACCTGGAACTGAGTTCTGGGAGCCCAGGGCAAAGTTCCCTCCTCACCTCTGCAGGCTGGAGCTTTACAGCAAACATCCCACTGCACATCCAGCACCCGTTTGGGGGAAAGCCAAGTAGGAAACCTCATTCTCAGAAGATTTCTCCATGGAGGAACACAAATAAATAATCCTCACCAAGAGCATCACTTCCCTCCAAGCATCTTCCAGGCATTTTTTGTCTACAAAATCCAAATTTATTGAGGTCCCAGCTGCTCTTTGTTGGGCTGCTCCACCTCTGCAAGAGCCAAGAGCCACCAGAAGTGGTTTGGCTCCAGCAGGTCCCCAACCAGCAGCTCCAGGTGGTGGCCTGAGTCCAGGGAATTTGGGCTATGGCAAAGGCCAGTTTGGCTGGACCAAATTAGCTCCAAGATGCTGGGCCAGGGAGTCCCCCCAACATCTCAGCAACTTCTGTGCTGCTCTAAATGTTTTTATTACACCACTATAAATTATTATTATTAAGCAAATATTACACTTTAGTGCTGTGTGCAGACAAAAATTTATTGTAGGGAAGAAGAATCTGCAATAGAGACTTTAAAACACAGGGAACAGTAATTGTTAAAATTAACTTGCAACATTTTCATTTCATTTTCAGTAATATTTTTTTTAAATCTTTCCCATTGCACACAAAAAGCTGCCATTTCTCCTACCATAACTATAAAATAAAAAATATAAAACAAAATAAAAAAGGTAAAAGGTTAAAAAATACCTCTGGTACAATGCTTTGCAACATACATATATACACACACGTTTAGCTTTACTGTACAGTAATTTAAAATTTGGGAATGGGCATATTATTTCTACATATTCCAAAACAGTTTCCCAGGAAGATTTTTATTTACAGTTGCACGATGCCTTTAAAGGCTGGAGACACAACTTTAATACTCAATGCTGACCCTTGAAAACAATTTTAGCCAAATCTTACACATTTTTTCCTCAAACAATCAGCAGTTCTGGCTTTGAATGAGGGGCTCTATCCTCCCACAGGTTTAGGGGGGATTCTAATCCTCCTCTACAGGAGCAGCTTTCAGCCCTCTGCCCCTAAACAGATCCTTGAAATTGCATTAGAAGTTTCAGATTTTGAAAATTCCCATCCATCATTTGTTCTGCAGGTGAATTTGCTTTTTTAGGTGCCTTTGGCTGACCCAGGGCTGTGCAGACTGTGGTGTACAGACTGAATTTTCACTCTAATTATCTGTACAGACAATTTCTCCAGCAGATCCCTGTCCCCAAGCCAAACTCCTTTCGCTCACTGTTATTCTTCACTACTGAAACTGTTTTCTTTATTCAAGATAACATCAAGTAACTTCAGAAATACCAAATCCAAACATACTCGCTGGTCGTTTACCAACCACTTTTCCAACTAAGAGCTTTAATCCTACAAGAATTTCTATTTCTGTCTTGATGGGTTGCACATCCCCAGCCAGGCTCTGGAGTGTTACCTTCTTGTGGGATCCACTGGAAAATTACAGGAATGTTTCCTTCTGGCCAAGGGTTTGAAGTTTTCCTTTACAGAAGGAACACAGCCCAGTGTTTTTTCAGCATCAAGTCTCATCCAGATTCAGATTCTGGATCTCCAGCTTTTCCTAGAGCTCTTCCCAAGAGCCTTGGGTTGCCTTTTCCGCAAGGTGAACACTCTGGAACAGGATCAAATATTATATAGGGCTTTTTAAAAAACCTTGATTAATGTTGAGAAAGGTGAACCTGATCCTGCACTGGACTCTGAGCAGCCAGAACTCCACTTTTACCTGAAACCTCCTGAGGAACTGGAGTGATAACCCAGACCCTGCAGTCCGACAGGACCAGTCACACTGAAATAAGTTTCCTTGTTATCCTTATTCCAAGTTTATCCCCCACAGTAAGACACTGCAATTTGAAAACAAGGTTTTTCTAGGATTTCAGAAAATCCTGGCAAATCTGCTGCCCACCAAAGCTGCTGCTGGGGGTGGGAGAGGGGCCCATCCCAATCTGCAGACCCAGGTACCAACCCTGCGAGTCTCACACACATCAGGATCATGAGAACTGAGATCCCAGGCAGAGGCAGCTGGAGCAGGGCTGGAATTATCCTGGGCTCTGCTGTATAAATAATTTAGCAGCTGTTTGAAGATTCAGTGAAAACTCTGCCCTGGTTGTTTGTCAGGAGCTCCCTGAGTGCCATGAACAGCAAACTGTGTTTACATTTCCCACTGGCTCAGAGAATTAACGCTCTGGGGAGAGCTGTGAAATGAAGCAAGTGCCCAAACACAGGCTTTGAAGAGTTTGTCAGCAGATCAACACTGTTCTGGTGGTGGTTTCTCTGTCCTACATGGCTGTGGATGTCCCAGCAATGCTCCTGGGGAAGGGGCTCTACACCAAGCCATGAACTGTCCACGGTCATTATGACATATTTAATTACACCGAAGGCTTGCAAGCCCCCATCAGGTCTCCTGGAAGTGTTCTGAGATCTCCAATGCCCTGAGATCTCTCGGGGGAAGGTCTAACCTTCTTATGAAGAGGCCACAGCTTCCTTTCCATTCTCCCTTTGGCTTTCTCCAAAGGGTTCCTCATCCCTCTCTTTCGCAGAGAACTTTTTCTTGAAGGCCTGCGACAAGCTGGAGGAGGAGCCCTTCCTCAGCGTGGTCAGTCTCTTCCTGAAGTTGCCCCCCGAGAAGAAGTAGAGCAGCGGGTCGAAGCAGCAGTTGGCAGCGGCCAAGGGGAGCGTCACCACCACGGCTTTCTGCAGGTAAATGGCATCCTCACAGCTGGCCCTCCTGAGGCGCAGCACGTGCAGGTGCACCGTGCGCAGCACGTGGTACGGGGTGAAGCTCACCAGGAACGTGGCCGTCACGATGGCGATCATCCAAACCGCCCTGCGGCGGTTCGCCTGGTTCTTCCTCATGGAATTCCTCAGCAGGGTCCTGATGATCATGGCGTAGCAGATGGTTATGACGACGAAGGGCAAAATGAAACCCACGAACAGGGCGATGAAATCCAGGATCACCACCAGGTTCGTCTTGTGGGAGTTCTCCGGGGGCTCGAAGCACTTGGTCTTGTTGCCGTGCTGGTACGTCCCGTTGCGCAGGAAGGGCGCGCTCGTCAGCGTGACGAAGATCCAGATGCCGACAGAGACAAACTTCGCCTTCCTCTCCGTCACCAGGTTGATGTTCCGGACGGGGAAGACGATGGCGATGCAGCGGAAGAAGCTCATGGCGGTCATGAAGAAGATGCTGCAGTAGAGGTTGACGTAGAGCGCGTAGGACGCGACCCTGCACAGGAGGTCCCCGAAGAACCAGTGCCCCCGGTGCACGTAGTAGACGACGCGCAGGGGCAGCGTGGACACGCACAGGAAGTCGGACAGGGCGAGGTTCAGCAGGTACACCTGGAAGGCCGTTTTCTGCCGGTACGTCCGGATCAGCACGTACAGCACGACGCCGTTGCCCACGAAGCCCATGATGCTGATCATGGAGTAGAGCGAGGAGTAGACGCGGTTCCGGAAGTCGTCGATGGAGTGGTGGCACGACAGGTTATCGAACAGCGCCATGGTAGTGCCAGGCCGGGGCACCGATGGCACCTGGTGATCAGTGCCAGGCCTGAGGATGGAAGCTCAAGTGAGATCACAGAATCCCAGAACATGCCGAGTTGGAAGGGACCCACAAGGACCATCGAGTCCATCCCTCAGCCCTGCACAGGCCCATCCCCAAGAGTCCCACCCTGTGCCCCAGAGGATCATCCAAACCCTCCTGGAGCTCTGGCAGCCTTGGGGCTGTGCCCACTGCCCTGGGGAGCCTGGGCAGTGCCCAACCACCCTCTGGGGGAAGAACCTTTGCCTGAGATCCAACCTGAGCCTGCCCTGACACAGCTCCAGCCAATCCCTGGCTGCTGTCCCTGGTCCCCTCAGAGCAGAGCTCAGTCCCTGCCCCTCCTCTGCCCCTGCCCAGGAAGCTGGAACTGCAGTGAGGTCTCCCCTCAGTTTCCTCTTCTCCAGCTGAACACCCCAAGTGCCCTCAGTGTCCTCACATGGCTTCCCCTCAAGGCCCTTCACCATCTTCATGTCCTCCTTTGGACACTCTCTAATGCTTTAATATCTTTCTTATACATAAAGCAGCAAAGGAAAATAAAATTCCATTGCTAAATAGCAGGAAAACCCTGCCATCTCTCTCATACAGCTGGGAAGGGATGTGGACCTTATCTGCTTTATTACAATAATGGTCCCCTACAGCCACCTTTCTTCACATGGTGCCAACGACTGGGGATGTAAAGATGAGTCAAATTTTCATACATCATAGAATTGTGGCATTGTTAAGGCTGGAAAAGACCTCCAAGATCATAAATACAACTGTCAACCCAGCACCACCACCATGTTCACCACTGAATTTACCAAGGCATTTTGTATCAGTTATTTCTCAGACACTAAAAATAAACCCAAAACACAACCAAGATATTAGAGATTTCAAGGCTGGAACAATCCCTTTGGGCACACTGAGGCTGCACCTCCAGGCAGTGACGGTCAGGATGAAGGAGAAGCAGAAGCTGGGACGAGCTGAGCTGTGTGGTTTTAAGGTCCCTCCAACCCAAACCATTCTGTGATCCTATAATCCTGTTTTGCCAAAAAGCAGCAATGGGATTTTACATTCCTGCTGCTGAGCATTTCCCTCCCTTTCTGCCAGTTTCTCTACCGTCCCCAAGCCATAACAAAGAGCTATTAGCAAACATCATTTTACTGATCAGATAAATTTCCTGATTTAATCTCTCTGCTCATTTCCTAAGTGCTACTGAGCTGGATTATAAACTTTTTACCTCCTTTTGGGACTAAGTTTCAGGCTTTCAGCTGCTAATCTTAAAGACATTAACAGATGGTAAATGACCACTCCAGGTATTTTTCCAAAAGATAAGCAAGACCTGCTTTCTATTGTATTCCTAAACATGATTTAAGATGTCCTCTGGAACCAAAAGGAAACCTGATGATTACAATGCTGACGGGAAGTGTGAGGGAGCTTCACAAGTAGAAATGTACCTGTAAAACCCAAAAAGAATCCCACAAAACAGGGTTTCCTACGTGAGGCTTCACGTTTGCATCATGAATTGAAGCCAAATATCACTTCTACCACTTTTTCTTTGTATAGTTGCGGTTCACAGAACCATTTATTTCTGTGCTGGTGAATTCAGCTCACTGGAAATGTGCTCAAGTGAGAGGGAGCTGTGATGGCTGAGAAAAGTATCCCAAATGAAGCCAAACCCTAAACAACCATCATTCTCCAAGTCTGAGGCAGCACAGAGAGATTTATAGTTTGTCACAGAATCACAGAATGGTTTGGGTTGGAAGGGACCTTCAAGCCCAGCCAGTGCCATCCTCTGCCATGGGCAGGGACACCTTCCACTAGCCCAGGTTGCTCCAAGCCCTGTCCAACCTGGCCTTGGACACTTCCAGGGATGGGGCAGCCACAGCTTCTCTGGGCAACCTGTGCCAGGGCCTCCCCACCCTCACAGGGAAGAATTCCTCCCCAGTATCCCATCTAACCCTGTCCTCTGGCAGTGGGAAGCCATTCCCCCTTGTCCTGTCAGTCCAAACCCTTGTCCCAAGTCCCTCTCCTGCTCTCCTGGAGCCCCTCTAGGCACTGGAAGGGGCTCTCAGGTCTCCCTGGAGCTTTCCCAGGAGCTCTCCCAGCCTATCTCCGGAGCTGAGGTGCTCCAGCCCTCGGAGCATCTCCGTGGCCACCAGTAAATCATCCTAAGTTTAGTAACACCCCCACAAAGCACAACCCCAAAGCAGCTGCTGTCCTTTGTTCCGAGCGCAGCCGTGAAGCATCGCCACCCCAAGGAACTGAATTCCCGTTTGGGAAGGGGGGGACAGGAATGCCCCAAAACCGCCAAACGCCCCTCGCAACCACCAACTGCCCCCTGCGAGGGGCCGGAGCGCGGGCACGGAGGGAAGACCGGAGAGAGAATTGCAGCCAGCGAACACCAATTAACGCCGCAGCTCATTAACGGAGTACCGCGGTGTAACCGCGCTCCGGGGGAATTTAGCGGCTCACCCCGCTCCCTGCAGCCGGGACACCGGCAGAGCTGGGGCACCAGGGGCAAAGCCTGTCCCCCCACCCCGGTACCCCAGCCCCGCACGGCTCCTACCTGGGCGCAGCGGGCGGCGGATCTGCCCGCGCCGCCAATCCCCCGCCGCCCTTAAACCGGGCGCGACCGCCCGTCCGCCAAAACCCGCCCCAAAAACCCGCCCCAAAACCGCCCCGCGCTCCCACCCGGACCCTGAGAACTTCAGCTTTTCCATGGCGTTTCCACCCTCCTAGAAATAACCTTTTAAAGCATCCCTGCGGTGCTCACACACCCGACTCTGGTGTGAATTAACAGGGTCCCCTCACCCTTTATGTTCTGTTAGTAGTTTACTACTGCTCGGAGCTGGCAGTGAGTTCACCTCTGTATCTGGGCTAACACTGTTGTTTTCAAATATGTTTTTGCAAGCATTTTTTATGGTATTCTCATGAGAGGAAAAATACTGAATTCCCACTAATTCAGCGCTCCATCCTTCCAGCATCCCAAAATACACTATATTTTTCTTTCTTTCTTTCTTTCTTTTCTTTCTTTTCTTTCTTTTCTTTCTTTTCTTTCTTTTCTTTCTTTTCTTTCTTTTCTTTCTTTTTTTTCCTTTTTTCTTAAGAACTGTGGCTTTGTAAAAAAACCTGCCCTAGAGGAAGTGTCAATTTTCTCAGTATTGAATGTTTTAGGTGTGGGCTGTCCTACTCTAAATTTTCAGTGAACTACACTGGATTTCTTTTGAGGATGTATAATATGCTGTTTCCACCTTATGCTAAAAAGGAATTAAAGTTTTGAAGACTTTCAAGGATGGAGGTTCAAGAGCCTCCAAGACTGGGCAACTCATCACACCTCCTGCAATCTCCTACCCTGGGAGCTGGTTCTGTAGCTTGTTTTATTTGTGCTGCACATTCTGCTGTTACCCCATTCTGCAATTCCTTCTGCTTTTTCTGGTACCTTCTTTTGACCATTCCTTCTGCTTTTTGCTGAGGTTTTGTTATTCCTTCTCTTTTTCTTTTTTTTGCTGTTCCTTTTTCTTTTCAGCTTTGGATCTCTAGAACAGGAAGATTTCTAGTTTCAAAGTCAGGTTGAGGTTAATGTGGGATTAAGGAGGCTGCTGCTGCTCCAGATGTGCTGGAAGAGCAGGCAGAAGTGGTGTGGGAAGGGTTTCCACACTGGACTCCAAAGAGGAGCTCGAACTGCAGCTCTGGGGTGGCCAAGGGGACATGTGGTATCTGGTGGGGGCCAGGTATGACATTTAGGGGCAAGACTGGGGTCCTCACTGAACATACCAACACCGGAGGAGCTGCATGAAGCCTTCTGTCCTCTGGGATGGGTGGCTGATCCTGACACCTCCACACACCACAGGGACCTCTGCACTCCAGGGAAGGGCTGGATCCACAGCCCCAAGGAGAGGACAGAGCAGCCCTTGGCTGTGGGGTGACCGTCCCCAGGGGCTCTGCCCCCCCAGTTTGGGCACAGGAAGATCTTCAGGCCACTCAGTGCTGAGGCTTCAGGGAAGGGCCATCGGTGTGTGTCCCTCACAGACCACACCAGGTCACCTCCTCCCTCTCCTTCCCCTGCCTGCTTTGCTAAAGCCTCCCTGCAAGGCAGAGCCCAACTGAGCTGACCTGTCACAGGGACTGAGCACTCAAAGGCTCTGGAAGACGTGGATTAGACAAGGAATGGGCAGAGGGCAGTGGGAGGGATGAAGGAGGTGGCTACAAGAACATGCCAGGTGTGGATAAGGGAGATACCCAGAGGAGGGCAAGGGACATGGAGGACTTCCAAAATGATCCATTCCCAGAGAAGTGAGGGTGAAGAAGAACCCCATAAAGTGGTTCCCATAAGACCTGATAAGAGCAATTTGATGCTCAGGCTGGAACTCAGTCTGACTCCCTTTCCACAGGACAAGGGGCGAGGCACAAATGAGGGATACAGGCTTTGGAAATCTCTCTGGGACCATCCAAACCTGGAAGAAGCCTGCCTATGGTTTAGGGGTAAGGGTTACATTGCCACTTAGCACTGACTGACCCTCCGTTGCCTTCTCCTGGATCCCAAATTCCTGCAGCTTCATCAGACTCCAAAATGCTGAGCCCTTCATCAAATATCAAAATGTCATCGATTCAGCTCTCTGGGCTGGTCATTTCTTTCCTGCAGGGCTTCCAGAGAGCTTCCTAAAAGCCTAAACAATTTACAGGCTGGGTGGAAAAGCTCTTCAGCGTTGGCAACTCCTTTCACACGGGCTATTGAAGAAGGTGAAAATAGAGAGATGGTGTTTCATGATGAAACAAATTTTATCTTGTTAACATGTTGCATTTTCCTTCCTCTCCTGGGACTTCCTAAAATAGGTTGTTTCTCTTTGAATCTCACTTGAAGAGGATGGGATCTCAGCTTCAGATTGGCTCCCATTTAGTCACAGTAGGGTGGAGTGTGGCACTGAAGGGAGAACCACTCACAGCAATGTCATCCGGTGGATTTCCACGGAAAATCAGGACCATGGTGATGCCTGAAATCAGTGATGGAGACCTG